TTCGCTGACCATCTCTTCGTCAACATCGCATTGATTTCAAATTCTCATCCTTGTTTCGAATACCTTATTGGTCTTGACTATCCGGATCTTTGCTATTTCCTTTTGCCTGGTAGTCCTCTAAGATATTAAGGGGCAATTGTCAGAAATAGATTACTAGTCGGATTCAAGATAGATACCAGAGAGAGGGAATACGGGGTAGACATTCAGAGTGGCATAAGGTGGGAAATGTACCACAAGCGGTATTCCTAGGACCGCAGCTGCTCACTGTTTAAATTAACAATTTAGATGTTGGTATGAAAAACAATTTTGACATTTGTGAATGACATGATAAGTAGGCAATACTAAATAGGATTGCAGCAAATTATAAGAGAATATGAATAAACTTGCACAATGGACAAACAGTTGGCAAATAAAGTATAGCACCAATTTTAGTAAAATGAATAGAGAGTCACATTTGGAAAATAAATCTGGGTACGGGTAGAGGAATGATACGATCTTGAAACACAAATACATCTGTCACTAAAAGTTTTACCACAGTTAACAAGGCATCAAAACACAAACCAATCACAGACTTAATTTCTACAATGATAGAACAGAAACTTAGCAGCACTCTGCAAAGTTAGTGTTAAACCTTGGTTAGACCAGACTGCTTGCAAAATAAATGTATGGAAGCTTTGAAGAGGATGCAGGGGAGGCTTAGAAGGATGATACCAAAAAATGTGGGTTTATTTATCAGGCAAGGTTTGATAGACTGGGTCTCTTCTCTCACAAGTAAAAGGCTCGGGGAAAACGTTTAAAATTATGAAATATTTTGATAGAATGGATAAAGAGAGTATGCTTCCTGTTAGTTTTTTTTTTGTTTATGGGATGAGGGTATTGCTGGCTAGGCAGCATTTATTGCCTATCCCTAATTGCTGAAAGGGCAGTTAAGAGTCAACCACATTGCTATGGGTCTGGAGTCACAATTTAGACCAGATCAGAACTCTTAATTCCAGACATTTGTTGAATTCAAATCCACCATCTGCTGTGGCAGGATTCAAACCTGGGTCCCTGGGATGTCATCTAGGTCTCTGGATTAACAGCCCAGCAATAATATCACTAGGCCATCGCCTCCCCGGTTTGCTTTTGGTATGCTTGCCTTTATTGGTTAATGCATTAATTATAGGAGTTGGGAGGTCATGCTCCGGTTGTACAGCACATTGGTTCAGCCACTTCTGAAGTATTGCGTGCATTCTGGTTTCCCTCCTATAGGAAGGATGTTGTGAAACTAGAAAGGGTTCAGAAAAGATTTACGAGTGTTGCCAGGGTTGGAGGGTTTAATCTATGAGGAGAGGCTGAATAGGGTGGGGCCATTTTCCCTGGAGTGTTGGAGGCTGAAGGGTGACCTTATAGATGTTTGTAAAATCATGAGGAGCATGGATAGGGTAAATAGGCAAGGTCTTTTCCCTGGGGTGGTGGAGTTCAAAACTGGACAGGATAGCTTTAAGGTGTGAGGGGAAAGATATAAAAGGGACCTAGGGGAAACTTTTTCACGCAGATGGTGGTGCATGTATGGAATGAGCTACCAGAGGAAGTGGTGGAGGCTGGTATGATTACAACATTTAAAAGGCATCTTGATGAGTATATGAATAGGAAAGGTTTAGAAGGATATGGGCCAAATGCTGGCAAATGGGACTAGATTTATATAGGATATATGGTCCACATGGACGAGTTGGACCAAAAGGTCTGTTTCCATGCTGTATATCTCTATGACTCCATAAGGAACTATATAATTAGAAGCCGTCAATATAAGATACCAACAAATCTAACATGCTATTCAGAAGAATCACCTTCACCCAGAGATTGGTGAGAATATGAAACACACACTGACAGGCAGTTATTGAAGTGATTGCATAGTGATTTATGGACTGGACCCCGTCAGGGACAGGAAATAGAGGGTTACAAAGATGAATTTAGATGAGGAAAGAACGGAGAAGGCTTGAGTTGAGCATCAATGTCAGCATGGACTGCTTAACTTAAATTATCTGTTTTTGTGTCAATTGTCCTACATAATCCAGGTAATAAGGAAATTACATCATGCCGCTAATTCTGAAAATAAACTCAGAAATTATTGGAAAAAGTCAACACGTCTGGCAGCATTTGTGGAGCGAAATCAGCATTAAAATTCCAGGTCCAGTGACCCTTCTTCAGAACTAATGGTAGTCTAGGAAAAGCTAATTTTTATGCAGAAGGTAGGGTGGAAGGAGGGGATAAGGAGTAGACGATAGGTGGCAATAGAGCCCAAAGAGAGATGAAGTGGATAACAGTCAGTCTAGGAGAATGAATAGCTGCTAATGGGGACTATTCGTGGCTAACAATGAATTTTGTACCATTTTGACAGGGCCTTCAACTGGATCCGACCCATCTCCCACACTTAGGCCCTCACTCCCTTTCTTCCCTCCCACAATAGCAATGTCCTTATCTGCCATCCCACCAGAATCCACATCCAGAGGATCATTAGCCACCATTTCTGCCACCTCCAGTGAGATGCACCACAAGACACATATTCCTCTTCCCTGTCTGCCTTCTGTAGGGACTGTTCCCTCTGGACACTCTGGTCTACTTTTCCTACACGCCCAACAACCCCTCACAGCCCCATGGCACCTTCCCTTGCAATCGCTGAAGGTGTAACACTTGCCCATTTACCTCCTCCCTCCCCAAGGGCTCAAACTTACTTTCAGGTGGAGCAGTGCTTTACCTGCACTTCCCACAATCTAGTCTACTGCATTCGCTGCTCACAACCATCTTCAGCTGCTTCATCAATGACCTTCCCTCCACCATAAGGTCAGAGGTGGGGATGTTCGCCAATGATTGCACAATGTTCAGCACCATTCGTGACTCCTCAGATACTGAAGCAGTCCATGTTCACATGCAACAAGATCTGGACAATATCCAGGCTTGGGCTGACAAGTGGCAAGTGACATTCGTGCCACACAAATGCCAGGCTATGACCATCACCAATAAGAGACAATCTAACCACAGCCCTTTGACATTCCATGGTGTTACCATCACTGAATCCCCCAGTATCAACATCCTGTGGGTTATGATTGACCAGAAACTCAACTGGACTCATCAGATTAACAGAGTGGCTACAACAGCAGGCCAGAAGCTGGGAATACTGCAGCGAGTAACTCATCTCCTGACTCCTCAAAGCCTGTCCACCATCTACAAGGCACAAGTCAGGAGTGTGATGGAATACTCCCCACTTGCCTGGATGAGTCCCCCAACGACACTCAAGAAGCTTGACACCATCCAGGACAAAGCAGCCCGCTTGATTGGCACTACACCCACAAGCATTCACTCCCTCCACCACCGACGCTCAGTAACAGCAGTGTGTGCTAGCTACAAGATGCACTGCAAAAATTCACCAAAGATCCTCAGACAGCACCTTCCAAACCCACAACCACTTCCATCTAGAAGGACAAGGGCAGCAGATATATGGTAACACCACCACCGCCAAGTTCCCCTCCAAGTCACTCACCATCCTGACTTGGAAATATATCACCGTTCCTTCGCTGTTGCTGGGTCAAAATCCTGGAATTCCCTCCCTAATAGCATTATGGGTCAACCCACAGCAGGGGGAATGCAGCGGTTCAAGAAGGCAGCTCACCACCACCTTCTGAAGGGCAACTAGGGATGGGCAAGAAATGCTGGCCAGCCAGCAACACCCACATCTCACAAAATCATTAAAAAATTGGGGACACAAAGTGTAGGCTGGGTGACCACTTCACAGAACACCTATATTTGACCGTAAACTTCTAGTTGCTCGCCACCTCAACACACCACCCTGTTCCCTGGCCAATACCTCTGTCTCGGGCTTCCAGCAATGTTCAGTGTAAGCTGGAAAAACAACACCTCATTTTCTGAAGAAGGGTCTAGTCCCGAAACGTCAGCTTTCCTGCTCCTCTGATGCTGCTTGGCCTGCTGTGTTCATCCAGCTCTACACCTCGTTACCTCATTTTCCAATTTGAGTCCAGAAGGTTGCAGGGACCCCATGTCGAGTTCAGCAACTTTAGGGCTTGACCTCTCCCATGTCCCAGCCCCCACCCTCAAACAACAGGCCTTATTATCACAGTCTGCTATTCCATACAGCTCATTGTTAGCCACTAACAGCCTCCATTAACAGCTATTCACCCTTCTAGTCAGATCATTATCCATTCCTTTGTCTGTCCAACTATTCTGCTCTCTCTTTGGGCTTTAACCTCACCTATCATTTACTCTTTACCCCTTCCCCTGCCCTAGCTTCTGCAGAAAAACTGACATTTTCCTAGCTACCATCAGTTCTGAGGAAGGTCACCAAATCCAAAATAATGGCTCTGATTTTTTTCTTCACAGATGCTGCTAAACCTGCTGAGCTTTTCCAGCAACTTCTTTTTTAGTAGCTTTCTCAATACTAGCAGTCAATCAGTATTTGAATTCAACAACAACTTGCAAAAAAATGTTTTTAATCAACTTGTTTGGATGTGTTATACACACCTCCACGCCATCACATCGAGAGATAGCATTTGAACCTGGACCTTCTGGCTCTGAGTTGGGAACAGGACCACTCGATAATAAGCCCGTTATAAATACCTGATATGGTTACCGTTACTTTATGATGCAAATTCACCAATTGAATGCAAATTCCATCAGGGCTATGTTAGAATTTGAAACGGTGTCTGGGGTCACTAGATTATTACTTCAGTGATTATCACCAGTAAGCCAGTCACACGACCTGAAATGTTAACTCTGATTTTTTTTTTCTTCCCAGATACTGCCAGACCTGCTGAAGTTTTCCAGTAACTTCTGTTTTTGCTCCTGATTTACAGTATCCGCAGTTCTTTCGCTTTTTATTGAGAAAGCTACTGATTGGCAAATAATTAGAGGCGAGGCCCTGATTGGCTGGTACCGAGAGCCCGGCGTTGATTGGGTGCATTCAGTTGCATGCTGCTGATTGGCTGGTGTCAGAAGGCTGGCGTTGATTGGCTGGTATTGGGAGTCCGATGCTGATTGGGTTTTGGTGGCTGGAAAAAGGCGGGTCGAAATGTCAGTTTTTTTAACAAATGAAGACGGGAGGGCGTTGAGGAAACAGGCGACGTTTGGGTAATGATGGACATGGTGGTCTACTGATAACGCGTGAAATAGCTTAAAACAATGATTCTCCGCGATCCTTGAAATTTTCTAAAATTATGGAAAAGAATAATATTGATTTCCGGTTGTCGTAACTTGTGGCAACTTAACTTGCTTGAACAATGGCCTGACTGACAGAAGGATTGCCCAATTAGGTCGATGCACCATAAGTTTTGTGACGTACACTGCGTGTAGCTGTCCAATTAGCAGCGTATTTGACGAAGGCTGCGGGAGGGGGCGGTGGACAGGGTTCGGTTGAGGCAAAGGATCGGCAGTGGTCGATGCTTCTGAGCGGCGACTTTGTGTCTGAACCGTGACTCTGGACTAGTCTATCGGCTGGTATTCAGCCTCCCCTTCGATTTTGGACCGTGAGTAGAGAAGCGCATGGAGGCCCAGTGACATACAATGGAACAATAGGGACAAGTGGGCCGTTCGCCCCCCTTAGGCCCCTCATACCTCCACCCCCGCCCCCTCCCAGATCCCCCAGCGGTCACAAAGAGAATGAGAGCAATGATTTAAAGAGCCGACTATACCGAGCCAGCTCTGTGACCCTGGTCAAGCCAGGCTTGTCTAGGCTGCTTGGTGTGTACAGATTGTGGGATCGAGTACAGCCCGAGAGCGAGTCGTATTGAAAACGAGAGATGGGGGAGGGTAGTCAGAAGACAAAGGGAGAATGCTGAGCTTCCACTACCACCACCATCATTTGGGTTTAAAGCCCCGGGCTCCCCTCGTTATGGTGCGCTACCTCCCATTGCGGAGATACCCAGCGCCCTTTGTTGACACCGTCTGGGATTGCTGTTCTCTCTGAAAACGAAACTTGCCGCTCGCGACGTTAATGAAAGCTGTTGTTTTTTTTTCGCTCAACAACCGATTATGCAAACTTTAATACTTTATTCGACCTTTTGGACAGTTCGCTGAATATATTCTGACCTCGATCTTTATATTGCTGAAGATTTGAGTGATATTAGTAATGTATTATAATTGCTTAAGATAATCTGTTTTTTCTACTGTTATTTATGGTTCTCGCTCTCAGAACGATCAGTAGTCCAGTCAGATCTATGTCTAATTTTATAATGTTGAAACGTTGAACAATATGCCGCCATCTCTATGCCTATTAGAATTAGACAATACGTTTTGTTCTTGGTGTTCCTTCAATTTTACAAACCGTATAGAAGTGGGCTATCAGAGTCGTTGGTTGACTCTGGTAACTTTAGCTTAAATTGTCTGTTGTCACTGTGTTACAAGCCCTTATTAACACATAATAATAGGGTCACAGAGCTGGCTGCAAAATATCATTTTATATAAATGTTTGCTTTGTAGGTGAGTGACATTGGCAACCATGGCATCAGATTCTGGAGTGACCAATCCCAGCTGTCGGATAATGACTTTTTATCCTACGATGGAAGAGTTCAAAAATTTCAGTCGATACATTGCATATATAGAGTCACAAGGAGCCCACCGTGCTGGGCTTGCAAAGGTAATCTGAGTCACATTGGCATGGTCCAACCAGTCCATTCTGACCATGATCCCACCTGCCTGTGCTTGGCCCATATCCCTCCAAACATTTATTATTTGTGTATTATCCAAATGTCTTTTAAATGTTGTAACTGTGCCCACATCCATCACTTCCTTTGGAAGTTCATTCCAATACGAATCACTGTCTTAAAAAAAAATGCCTTGCATGTCTTTTAAATCTTTCTCCTCTCACCTTAAAAATATACCCCCTTGCCTTGAAATCCCCAGCCCTAGGGAAAAGACATATGCCGTTCACCTGATCTATACCCTTCATTATTTTATAAATTTCTGTAGGATCACCCCTCGACCTCTTACACTCCAGGAAAAATGTCCCAATCTATCCAGCCTCTCCTTTATAACTCACACCCTCCATTCCTGACAACATCCTGGTAAATCTCTTCCATTGAATAATAACCTTCCTATAACAGGAAGACCAGAACTGAAGTGATTACTCTAGAAGAGGCCTCACCAATGTCCTGTACAACCTCAAAGTAACATCCTAACTCCTGTACTCGGGTCTGAAAAATGAAGGCAAGCATGCTAAACGTCTTCTTAACCAGTCTGTCTATATGTGATGCAAACTTCAAAGAATTATGTACTTGACAGATCTCTGTTCTACAACAACACCCAATAACCCATTTTTAATTGTACTAATCTTGCCTTTGTTTGTTTTGCTAAAATGCAATACCTCACATTTATCCAAATTAAACTCCATCTGCATCTCTTTGATCAAGATCACTTTGTAATTGTAGATAAACTTCACTGCCCACTATACCTCAAACCTTGGTGTCAGCAACCAACTCACTAACCATGCTTTCTATATTCTCCTCTAAATCATTTACATAAATGAAAAACAAAAGCGGACCAGCAGCGAGGCCTGTGACCAGCGGTGTTCCACAGGCATCTGTAATTAATATATAATTAATATTAATGAATACAGTCTGTATAATTTCCAGACTTCTCCTTGCATCCCTTTTTGGGTATATTTGGTATAACAACATGGAGCACTACTTACTGTTCATGAAATTACTCAGTCCTTTGAAATTGGAAATTCAGTACATCATCCCAAGTTGCGAAGCTTGCCACTGCCATGCTATGGGAGCAGCTTTGTATCTTGACTACTGCTGATTGCAGGGTTGTATCATCTATGCATCTACACAAGGCCCTAAGGTTGGGCATACTGGAATGGCCTTTTGTTGTATTAGGAATTGGAGATGTTTCTAATTTGCTGATAGCAACAAAAAAAGGCACAAGCGTTGTCCAATACAGTAATTGACCTAAATGAAACTATTCCAAAACTCCCATCTCCATTTGTCCAAACACACACACTTTCACTTTTGATCAGCTTGTCCTCCTGACAGCTGAGAATGAAAATTCACTCTCAATTTTTGAGGGTAGCATAATTGTTCTACCAATGTGCTGATTTGGTGCACCCCAGTAACCTTTCCGAAAGAGGATGCAAGAATTGGAGGAAATGATGAACAGAGTAAGTAGATAGTTGGGGTACAAGACCAGATATGGTTTCAGATTTTTGTGGAACAGGTGGTAATGATACTGATAGGATCAGCCCGCATATTAGACAGAAGCTTCAATGATTGACATTGATTCCAAATTTAAGTCTATTTTTTAAAAAAGGGGATTCAAATAAAGGAGGTATGAATTTAAAAATCCTCGTCAACATTAAAGAAAGTCTCCATTTCCTACTGCGATTGAAATTATGCAACCGCATATGTTCAGTCAACAAATGACCTGACACAGTGGAGTCCAAGTGCTGATCTGAATATGGCTTTATTGAATGATGGAATCTAATAGCCAATTCCTGCTCCGATTTCATGAATATCAGCATTAAGGCTGACTGATCTGGTTGTGCATGGTGCAAAATATGAGTTGCAACACAGTTGCCACTTGCCATCCCTCTCAGGTAAGTATTTTGAAGTGATATGATTCATTTGGCTGCACATAATGCAACACAATTATTTTCAAATTTCAGTAGTTGCTGGTGATGTAATTTCATCTGCCATGTGAAAAAAGGCTAAAACATTGTCGCTAAAACATTGTCACTAAAACAGATAGCTTGTGATGAACTCTTGGTGTTCTTTTTTTTCCAAATATCGTGTCTTTTATCTTCTGTAAATTTCTTTGAGATAATGACTCATGCTGACCATTGACCAGAAACTCAAATTGAAGCAGCCGCAATTAATATTGTGGTTACAAGAGTTACCCAGATGTATCATATTCTGGCCTCTTGATTCCTCTAAGCCAGAACAACGTAAGTAAGGCACAGTTTGGAGTATAATGGAATACTCTCAACTTGCCTGAATGAATGCAGCCTTAATAAATTCTGAAGAAACTTGACATAATCTTTGGCAAAGTTGTCCCCGTGATCACCAGCCTCTCTATCACTTTAAACCTCTGTTCCCTCCTCCATGGGTGCAGTATGACACATACCATCACCAAGATGCACTGCCTCAACTTGCCAATAGTTCATAAAAACTTTCTGCCTGTATTATCCAATAGCAGCATCACTACTTGCAAGTTTCCCCTTTAGGTCATATGCAGCCTTCACTTGGAAATACATTGGTGTTTCTTCAGTCTTACGGAATTAAAATTCTGCAAGTCCTATTTAACAGCGCTGCAGGCGTATTTTCCACATTGACTGACTATAGTGGTTCAAGAACTCAGCTTGTTGTCACCATCCCCACCGCCTCAAGAAATTGGGGATTGACAGTAAATATCAGTGATGCCCACATGCTGTGAAGCAATGCGGCTATTATTTGACTTCACCAGGAAAGTGAATAGGTCATTTTAATAAACAAACATAATACACGGTTGCACACTGCACTTTTAAAGTGAAGATTGTTAGATTTTACCAAGAATGATAATTGATTAAAACTCATCCCACTCCCCACCACCTGTAGCCCAGGGATGCTACATGGCTGAGCCATTTAGAGTATCTGTATGGTACCATTGACATCTCAAGCAGCAGTATCTGATTTGGTATGACTTATTACCATGTCACAGGGTGCATTTGACCTGAATAGGCACAAGAATATCAGCAATTAGTTTATTTAAAAGTTATTTTCTTCAGGAAATCGTTTTCTTAGCAGGTGTTACTTGCAGTTTCTGAACTTGAGGAATGTGAAGACATCACTGTGAAATTCCTCCCAGAAACTATTTTCTGCTTATTCCATCTTTAAAACTGTTTCTTGGGTCATTTTGAAATTCTGAAAAGCTTTTCTTTTTGACCTTGCATTTTTAGTCTGAGACTTGTTTAACGAGAACCGAAACAGCTGCGGATGCTGTAAATTAGGAACAAAAACAAGTTGCTGGAAAAGCTCAGCAGGTCTGGCAGCATCTGTGAAGAAAAAATCAGAGTAAACTTTTCAGGTCTGATGACCCTTCCTCGGAACAGGAAGGATCACCGGACCCGAAATGTTAATTCTGATTTTTTTCTTTCTTCTTCTTCACAAATGCTGCCAGACCTGCTGAGCTTTTCCAGCAACTTTTGTTTTTGTACTTGTTTAATAAGCTTTGTTATATTCAAATCTTATCAATTAAAGTATAATTTTGTGAAGGAAGAAAACCACAATATTGGACCTCCAAAGAGATGCAAAAAGCATCCCATGCAGTATTGAGGAATAACTAATTAATCTCCCTTCAGTGGAATAATTTGGAAGGAAGATAGGTTTAAATAAACAATAACATTCTTAAAATTTGATAATTTAGTATTCTTTTGCCCACTCACTTGAGTGAAAGTGACAGACCCTGATTGCGCTGTATTTTGTGTTGTCTTGTGGTGTAGATTTTAAAAGCAAAAGTATAGTTGTAAGTAAAGTGATAATGCACCTGAATTTAAAGTTCCCATCTAGGCTCTTAGCTAACCTCGGCAATTTAAAAGTAGTTGCTCATACTAAAATGAGCCAATCTTGAGCAGCAAATGCCTTAATGACTTGCCCAAAGTTAGCAGCTACATATCATATTAGCTTTGGGTTATTGAGCACAATCAGAAATACCACAGGAGATGTGATACATCGTAACCTCTTAAGCCATATCACGCAAAAAAAAATTTTGTTGCAGCCACACATTTAGAAATATAGGTCTTTGAGGTGTAACTATACTCACTTAATTATTATTCTCAACAGGTTGTTCCACCTAAAGAATGGAGGCCTTGTAAAAGTTATGATGAAATTGATGATCTGGTGATTCCAGCCCCAATTCAACAGGTGGTGACAGGCCAGTCAGGCTTGTTCACACAATACAACATCCAGAAGAAGCCCATCACTGTACGCGAGTTCCGAAAAATTGCTAACAGTGATAAGTAAGAAACTTACTTTTGTATTGCTTCTCATAATGGATTGTGAGTAAAATTAGTTTAACCAAATTGCACAATATTGGACAAGAAGCCAACAAGAATTTTAAAAATTTTTTAAAAATATATTTTTGAAGTTTCTGCAGTTCTAGCTCAGGTAAATCGTATACTTATGGCCTAATATATTCAGTTATGTTCCCAACTTGGAGTTGGGGCTGTGAGTGGGACATCAGGGACATGTTGGTTGTTTGTTTAATATTTGAGTCCTTTAACATTTCAGTAACAAACATGAAAATAGCCATTAGTTGTATAGGCAGTCCTCAAGCTGTAAGTGGGAGTTCTGGAGTCCTTTTTCAAGTCGAAATATTCTGACTTGTTTGCAAAATGCAGGACATAAAAAGCAGCTATTCTTGAGTACTGGAAATATTCAGGTTTTTAAAATAAAACCCCTATTTGGGATCATGTTCGTAAGTCGGGGGTCCTTCTCAGTCATTTTCCTAGGTGGCAAGATAGCAAGTACAGATATTAGCCGAGTTAAATTTACAACACATACCAACCATTTGGCTTCACACAACCTTCCTTCCACTGTGTTTCATCTAATCCTGGAAAACCCTTATTTTCTTTCTCATGTATTTAACTTAATTTCCTCTCTTATAAAGATATCTGTAGCTGTTGCCTGTACTGCTCCATGTCATCATCAGTTACGTGTTCTTCCTGTCTGAATAAAGATGTTTGTCCTGTATTCATTAGTGACTAGCTTGCACGTGTTGCCTCTAATTTTGGATTCACCTAGCAAGTGCCAAAATCTTCTGCATGTTGACTAAACAAAATCGCCTCAATGTCAATGATCCAGCCTTTCCCTTTCAAGGGAAAAGACCAGAGCGCACGTACAATCTTTTGTATGTTTACTGTTGCTTCTGAATTCTGGTATTATCTTTTTGAATCTCATTGTTCATTCATCCATTCCTCTGTAAGCATAGAATCTGTACAGTGCAGATAGAGGTCAATTAGTCCATTGAGTCTGCGCCAATCCTCTGAGGAGCATCCCACCCAGACCTACTCACCCCCGTCCACGTGATCCTGCATTTACCATGATGGATCCACCTAACCTGCACATCTCTGGATAAATACAGGGCAATTTACCACGGCCACTCCACCTAACCTATACATCTTTGGACTGTGGGAGTAAACCAGAGCGCCCAGTGGAAACCCATGCAGACAGTGACCCAAGGCTGGAATTGAACCCAGGTCCCTGGAGTTGAGGCAGCAGTGATGACCACTGAGCTGCCATCATTTTTGTAATGGGGAGACCAGAATTTACTTGGCAAGTAAACAATATTCTGGACTGTGGTTTAACCATGCATCTATACAATGGTTACACACATTCCCTGCTTTTGAAATAAACACAGTGCTGGAGGGAAGAGTCATACCTGGCTCCCAATGTTAACTTTGTTTCTCTCCACAGATACCGGCAGACCTGCTGAGTTTCTCCAGAGTTCTGTGTTTCTGATATCGAACATGTGCAATATTTTGCTGTTATTCCCTGTTTTGAATTCTGTTCATCTGGATGCAAACTTTTTAAATTTGTGTTGCTACTTTTAACTTGCGAATGTATACTCCCAAGATCCCTCTATTTTCCCCTATCCCATTGAGACTGTTTGTTTGTTTCTTTCCTCCGGAATATGTGGCCACCTTAATTCTCCTACCAAAATGCACCATTTCACGTTTATCTGTTAAAATTGCACTAATTTTCACTTGTGTTATATTGTATTTTCAATTTTTTTTTAACATTAACTGCATAAAATTTGCTGCTGTCTGCAAATTTTGAAAATGTTTCCAATTTCATTTCTGTAAATGGTGAACAGCAGTATTCGTAGTACCAGTTTTCAAATATCACTCCCTAATTCTTGTCACATGAACCCTACACTTTTTTTTTCTAGGGAACCAGTTGTCCATTCTGTGTACTGTATTCTTGATTTATCAAGTAAACGGTGCAGATGGTGTAAGAGTAACATTACTGGATTCCACTAAAGTTCCAGAGCCCCAGGTTAATGCTTTGGGAATATGAGTTCCACTATGGGAATTAATAATCTAGGCTTGAAGGCTAGTTTCAGTAACAGTGATATATCAACTCACTGTTGATTGTTGATTTCAAAAAAAAACTTGTCAGTTGAGGGATTGAGATCTCTTGTCCTTGCTCACTCTCTTACCCTGAAAGTAACTAAACCTGCGGCAATGTTATTGACCCTTAACTGCCTTTTGAGGTGTCCTAGTGAACTATTCAGTTGTGGCAATTAGGGGTTGGCAGGAAATGCTGCCTTTGTGCCAGTAAGTTCACCTGCCCCATATCCCTGAAAATAACTTTTTTTTTCAACTGCATTCTAGAATGTTGATGTTCCGTTAAATATACATTATAAAATAAACATGTAGTTGTACAGATAATACAGAGCCTACATCTGGGGGTGTATTATCTTTAAAAGAATTACCAGAGGCTGTGTTGTCAGATAAGAAAATGCAAACATATGAGGTTATCTCTGCAATCTGATACCTCCAGCTGTAGGCTCCAGGGGTATGAAATGGGAGATTTTGATTCTCTTCATGTGTTTAAAAGACCTGAAAATGGAATGTTGAAAATATGCTATAGAAGAGTCTTACTCCAGCTTCTCTCATTTGAGAACTAAATTGAAGTTCAGTTAGAATTTTTTTGATTTATTAAAATGTGTATCTTTTTTCCAGATACTGCACCCCTCGCTATTCAGACTTTGATGATCTGGAGCGCAAGTATTGGAAAAATCTCACATTTAATGCACCAATCTATGGTGCAGATGTCAATGGTACATTGTATGATGAGGTAAGACTTAAATAAGTCTTTAATTTTTTTTATTGCTGTGGTTCCCAGATACATTTGATAAAGTGGTCACAGTTCTGTTCCCATTTTTCCTTTGTAGCTCTTGAAAATGTTTTTAAACTGAACAATTCTGAACACTATTACATAGTCCACTGTGTATTTTGAATGTTACCAGAACTGATGAGAACTATTGTCTCCTATGTTAAGTTTAATGATTGAGAATGAATGGTGTTAACTTCCTTTTAGTTTGTTGGAATCATAGGGTCATGCAGAACAGAAGGAGGCCATTTTGTCCACTATGCTTGTGCTTACATTCTAAATGAAGTACCAATTAGTCTTTCTCCCTTGTCCTTTCCATTTGGCCTCCAAATATTTTCTGTTCAAAATGCATTTCCATTTTCTTTTTGCAAGTTCCTATCGGATCTGATGGCACCACCCTTTAAGACAGCAAGCTGTCATGATCTGAACTGCAAATAATAAATTCTTTTCAGCTTCTAACTGGGGTTTCTGACCAGTTATTTTAAATGGATGCGCTCTGGTTGCTGATCATCCTGCCACTGAAAATGGAGTTAGTAAGAAGGAATTACAACTCTGAATTTGAACCAGGACCTATTAAATCTCCCATCTACAGGCTCTTTCTAAGAAGGAAAAAACTGATCTATTCTCCAGATAATTGAAATCCTTCACTTTTGGTACCAATCTACTATGTCTAAGCGAAAACATTAACTCCTATCTTGTTATAGCCATTTTTTTAAACACAGGTTGGCAGAAGCATGTGTTTTCATGACTGATTAAATCAGTATAAATATTTTGGAATATTCGCATACTTATGTAATTTTTCAAGGTCTTTTAAAATTATTTTAACATATCTTGATGTCATTCTTCAGCTTTCTCTGCTCAGTGCCCTTACCATCTCCTATTCTTCTCTTGTTCATTGAGTCTTTGTGCTGTCTCGAGAGAGAACAAATGTGGTGGGTGCTGTCTTAGTGTGAATTAATGTAAATGCATGGTCAAATAAAATAAAGTCCTGAAAAGGCCTTACTTCTCTCTCTTGACCCAATTGCTTTTGTTTGAGATAATGAGTTAAATATCTGTTTACAGGTTTCTTTCACATGACACTTAATATATGCCCCCACCAAATTTGGAAAAGCTTGGCTTCGATTTTGTAATCTCCATTTGATACCAGCTACGTGCTGATTGAAGAATGGCAGGACTAATCCAGCATTTGAGAGGTTTTTTTTTGAATAACAATGCTACTTTGTGCCAACATCCTTTGAACAAAAGGTGGTTGTGTAAGAATAGTTTTTCTTCTCTCTCAGTGAACCTTATTTTTCAGGTTATAGCATGATTGTTGGAAGTAGGGGAAATGGTGGAGTGCAGTATTCTCCTTGTAAATAGATAAAGGTTGGATTTGTTTCTGGATGCTTTCAGTTTCATAGAAGACATGTAACTAAGCTTAAACTTTGTGTTTTCCAAATGCTATATTATTTTAAGCCCAATATTTTGTTTACAGATACAATTTCCTGTTTATTTAGGGTGTGACTGAATGGAACATTGGGCATTTGAACACAATCCTGGATGTGGTCGAAAAAGAGAGTGGTATCACAATTGAAGGTGTCAATACACCATATCTCTATTTTGGAATGTGGAAAACCACCTTTGCTTGGCACACGGAGGACATGGACCTCTACAGCATTAACTACCTGCACTTTGGTGAACCCAAGTCTTGGTAACAGGCTCAGCTTAATCTTGCACTCTACATATTCATTTTTGAATACTATATTGTGAATTTTAAATGTGTTACAATGAAATAGCTTATGCATTTAATGCTTTACACATTAAAATGAATGATTACCAGCTCCTTTTTTGTTGTAGCATGAAACTACCAAGAAGGTAGTTGAATTAGACGGATCTTGATCATGTTTTTGTGGAGTATCTGCTACATTGCTGTAGGGCTGTAGGTTGAATTTAAATGTGAAGTTCCAAGTAAAAGTGAACAGAGTAGTTTAAGGAAAGGAGAAAAGACTTTAGTGTTTAGTCTCTGCTTGGCTTGTTTCTTTCTGCTTGTTGTTTGCACATATGTCTAAAAGATTACACAGTATTATTAAAACTTTCAGCTGTATGAAAGGAAAAGATCATCAGATTGTCACGGTCAGTTAGTGACTGTAGTCGCTTTTGTGGACAGCAATAAGCTGGATAGCCAATAAGTGTTTTTGATAGTTAAGGGATAAATTTTGGTTGGGTCATTGAAAACCAGTCCTTGGTTTAGATGTTGTGAAATGGGATAGTAATGACATGCCTCCACTTAACTTGTCCAGCTACCTGTGATGGGCAATTTGGATAAAATACTTGCATTTGGCTTACCTTCTGACTTTCAACAGCGTATTTGGAAATGAACAAGAAGTGTCCATACAAACCACAAGTATACTTCCATTTCTCACAACAATCAAGATAGCTGAATTTTTTTTTTTTTTTTGAGAGCTATAATGTGTACATTTAGAGTTCTGAGTGAAAAAACGTGTACATAAGGTATGTGCAGTAATATTTGCTAGAAATTGTTGTGACAGGGTAACATTTCTGCAAACATCTACCAACAGCTCTTTTTAAAGCAATTTGCTAAAGTAGGATAGGCCCCATGATTACCTGTGCCCCAGTTTCTACTGGAATTGCTGCATAGTTTGCAGACTGTTGAAGTTGAGTGAAGGATGTAATTTAATATGTAGTTTACGTAAGGTCTGTGTGTACTACTAACAATGGTTCTGATTCCGCACCAACATATCCATCAGGAACTGTGGCAATCAAAGCCCTGATTTCTTCAGGTCCGCTTGCATTGCCCCACATCCTGTTCAAGTCATGTTGGCCTATTTTCAGAGTCATAGAGTATGGAAACAGACTCTAAGGTCCAACTCATCCAAGTTTCCCAAACTAAACTAGTCCCATTTGCCTGTGTTTGGCTTGTATCCCTCTAAACTTTCCTATTCTTGTACCTGTCCAAATATCTTTTAAATGTAGCTGTACCTACACCTACCAATTTGTCTGGCAGTTCTTTCCACCCTCTAAGGAAAAAGTTGCCCCTCTGGTCCCTTTTCAATCTTTCTCCTCTCACCTTAAAAATATGACTCCTTGTTTTGAACTCCCCTATCCTAGGGAAAAGACCTTTGCTATTCGTTTTATCTCTGCCGGTCGTATAAGGTTACCCCTCAATCTCCTACATTCCGGTGGGAAAAGTCCCATCCTATCCAGCCACTTATAACTAAAACCCTCCAGTCCCTGTAATGCCCTTACAAATTATTTTTGCACCGTCTCTAATTTGGTAATATCCTTTCTATGAGCTCTTTGCTTAAATGCAGCTTTGCCCACAGCAACATGACCTCAACCATTAGTAGTCCAAGGAGGCAGATCCCAAATTCACCCCAGCCAAACCAGTGATCAAGCCCTGTAGCATTGGTACCAATCCGATCCAAACCGGATATCCGGCCGATCCAAACCGGATATCCGGCCAACCCTCAAGGAGTCGGTGTACTGTGGCAATGTAACTTCTGTTGAATATGTGTATACTGGCCTTGCTATGGATAACAATTCCAGTTTCTTCATCACGTGGCTCACAAGCATCTCCCATCCTCGTTGCCTGCCGTACGTGTACGTTGGGAGGATTTACAAGCTGATACTCGACCTGTTTGACCATATTATCCATGCATCTTTAGCTGACAGGTTTGGCTTGGGGTTTTGACTTGGGGATGCTACCTCTATACCACAAGATCTCTTAGGGATGTTTTATCTCATTGCATTTGCATCATCTTGCTGAAGCCTGTGTTGAGACTGTGCACCTCTTAAACCAAAATTCAAAGATGGAATGGTTGGAGGGGAATGAGAATTGAAATTCAAATGAGTTGTGAAAAGAACTAATTTTGACAGAATATTCAAGAATTATTTGTTCTGGCCAAAGTAGAGGACAGTGCACCAGGAAGGTTGGGATTGAAGCAAATTAATGGGTTTGTCATTGGTTTTGTTGTAGCTAACACTGATAATATGTGGTGTGCTGACTTATTTTTGGGCGAGGAGATTTGACAGAAGTTCTTAAAATCATAGGCGGTCTTGGCAAATCAAGTAGAGAGGAAAAACGGGCTCAAGAACCAGGAGACAGAAATTTTAAATGATTGGCAAATGATCCAAAGGCAACATAAGGCAAAATCTTTTTTAGTTTAGCAAATGAAAGTCAAGGTCAGCAGTTATAGTGGAGGCAGTTTCAGTCATTGGCTTTTCAGCAGGGAATTGAATGTGCACCTGAAGAGAGAATTTGCAGGGCCACAGGAAAGTAAGGGGAAATGGGTTCTGCTAAGTGTTTCTTTCAGAGCTGGCTGGCACTTGACCAGCTAGCTGTCCCGCTTCTGCTTTACTCAGAGCAGTGCAGCAGCTATGGTTAGCTCTGCTGCCTAACAGCTCCAGGGACGCAGGTTTGATTCCACCCTTGGGCAACTGTCTGTGTGGAATTCTCACATTCTGCCCGTGTCTGCGTTGGTTTCCTCTGGGTGCTACAGTCTCTTCTCTCTGTCCAAATATGTGCAGGTTAGGTGGATTAGCATTGGAAATGCAGGGTTACAGGGATAGGGTGGGGGATGTGGCTGGATGGAATGCTGTTTGGAGGGTCGGTGTGGACTCGATGGGCCAAGTTGCCTGCTTCCACACTGTAGGGATTCTATTCCATTCTATTCTATGATTCTGAAATTTAATGAAACAAATCACTTGTACCAGTTTAAAAAAAAAAAAAATTTAGGTTCCTAATTTAAAATATGCTATTGTTTTTATTGATTTCATGCAGTGGAACAATGTGATTTGGTTACAGTTTGTATCATAGCTTTTTCCTTTAAAGTCGGAACCAAAGAAGAAATGTTCTTCGGTGCTTTAGTGACAATATGTGGGTATGGGGATCTGCAGTGTTTTGAAATTAACTCCAGTCCGTCATAGAACTGTGTAGCTACTTGTGTCTCTCAAAATGACATGTTCAAATAAGGAGCTTGCAAAGTACATTGTAAATAATTATATGTATCTGTATTCTTATAGGTACACTGTTCCACCAGAGCATGGAAAACGATTGGAACGTCTAGCTAAAGGTAAAGACTTGTATCGCAATCTATTTGATCTTTGTTTGAATTTCTTGCTTTTAATAACTTGGGTGTAGAGACTAAGAGAAAAGTTTCTGTTTCATGTGATTCCTATATTTTGATAAACTGTAAGGAGCTTGCTGCATGGGAGAAATATTACACAAGATTTTTTTGGTTTTTTTTTCTGTTTAAGGCACTGAATAACAGGCAAATGAGAGTTCAGTTCTTGCTGGGCACTTTGGGACATCACTCTGGAATGTCCATGAGTGTCTGTTGTAAATATTAGTACTAGTAACAAACAATCCTGAGATGCAGTTGAGCTCTATGACCTTTAGGTCCAGATTGCAGAGCTTTTTCCATCATATATGTCTGGCGAACAATTACTGAAACTTTCCACTGATATGACTTCATAATCCTTCCCTTTTGAGAAAGACCTAAGGTTTTGAAGTGAAACTTTTTTAGAAAATGTCTTTCCAGCTGATTATTGCATCATGTTGAATTTTTTTTTTTTTTTGAAGGAAAGGTCTCTCATAACTCTAACCCCCCTTAAGGGGACAATCATTTTAGGGCTATCTGAACAAAGTATTTTTAGATACACAGAATCCTGCTTGGAGGTGTAGTTCTGCTGACTGAGTGTTCCTGTTTACATGCTCTGCAATAGTTTCAGTTTAAGATGTTGCTTTCTATTGGCCTGAAGTTTGATGTCTAGCTGCCCAATCTGGCAAGTCTGGTTTAAGTATCTAATTTGTGATCGTTAATATAAAGCAGTCTGACTTTCTTGTTTATTGTGGGATTTTTGGGAGTGAAGAAGATTGGAAATACATAAGTTACTTTCAACTCTAATGTAGCGTAGTGCTTTTAATCTCATTTTCTAACTGTACATGAAGTAAACATTGAAAGATTCTACAAATGTAACAGCTGTATAATGCAGGTCTTCCCCACATGGAGATGAGAGTTCAAGTTTTGAGATTGAGCTCCAAGATAGCAGTGGAAAATTGACCCTTTCAGCAACAGATAAAGGTGCTCCTTGCCATTTCCTTCCATTCTGTTTCCGAGGCAACTATTTCTAATTAATTACCCATTTGAGTGAAGTGATATCCTATGTGATAATGGATACCCTGCTTGAGTATATCATTGTGTATCATGAAACGTCATCTTAGGCTCTACATCTACCACTTGGCCCCAAGTGGGATTACCCTGGCAGGGGAAAGCATCTCGAAAATTTGAACAATAAGTCAAGCTAGCCGTGTCATGCTGCTACTTTGCAGTAAATCCATATGTAGTTTTCTCATTAACAGGGTTCTGCTGTCAAGCCAAAATGACATTTAGCCTACCAAACCAATCCAATAAGTAATGAGTTCAAGTGCTAGAGTTATGCTCGGTGTGTAGGCCAGATGTCCCAATGACTGGCATATTGAACAGCATGTACCATTGACCATTTGCAGCTTGCAACATATGCCTCTGCTCAACCAGCCCATGTTTGCAAGCCTTAGAAAATTATATCTGCCGTTGGATATTATTCTGCTATACCAGAAGTCATTTTAAGATCATCAACTGGGTCACAGTGTGGTGCATTTGTACATGCTAGAAGCTTAAAAAAAAAAGTAGAAGCTTAAAGATGGCAAAATCTCCGGGACCTGATCAAATGTATCCCAGGACATGTGGGAATTTAGGGAAAAAATAGTGGGGCCTCTGGTTGAGATATCTGTATCCTCTACAGCCACGGATGAGGTGTCAAAGGACTGGAGGGTGGTTAATGTTGTGCCTTTTATTTAGGAAAGGCTGTAAGGAGAAGCCTGGGAACTATGGAATGGTGAGTCTGATATCAGTGGTGAGCAAGTGATTGGTGATGATTCTGAGAGAGAAGATTTACGTACATTTGGAAAGGAGATGACTGCATAGGGAATAGTCAGCATGACTTTGAGCATGGGAAATCATTTCTCTCAAACCTGATTTTGGTTACATCTTTAAAAAAACTCAAAGATTGAGGGCAGAGTGGTAGACGTCTACATGAACTTTAGTGAAGTCTTTACATGGTCGACTGATCAGTAAAGATAGATAATGTGGGATTCAGGGAGAGCTTGTCAGCTGGAT